TAAAGTGAAATGTAATGGTAGATTTATCACAGCGTCTGAAAGAGGAAACTCAGGTTAGATGCTGCGGGAAGCACCTGAGAAGATCACCTTTTACAAATGGTCCATTTTACTGAGCAGGTTGCAATAAATAAAAGTTCTGTTACTGCTGCACTCAGCGATTGACCTTTGAGGGACTGAATTTGATCTTCACACCTGTTCTGAGTTGCATCGTTTAGACTGTTATTAAAAGAAACAGGCAGGATGCGATTTAACCTGAGTCAAAGACACAGCAAATTTCCATCAAGAATGTCTTCTTCAAGCTACAAAAACAAAGAGCTACACGGTGGTGTAGTGGTTAGCACTGTCGCCGCCCACATAAGGTTGTGGATTCAGACCCGATGGCTGACCGTGATCTGCCTGTGTGGATCTGCTCGGGTACTCCAACCTCTCCCACAGTGCACAGACATGCAGGCTGACTGGTGATTCTAAGCTGCAGACAGGTGTGACTGGCTGTCAGCTCTGTGAGCAACTGGTGACCTGTCCAGGTGGACCCCGCCTCCCTCCCGGTGTTGGCCGGCCTGGGACAGGCTCCAGCTGATGAAGACACCACATTACCCTCTGTAAAAATCTGATGGCATTTGTCACAGTTTTCTAATGTCTTAGACCAAACAATTGACAGATTATTTAAAAAAACTTAACCAATTGTCATTAAGTGAAATAGTCACATGACTCCCAGAGCTCAGGGCTGACCAGGGTTCCTGGGGGGCAACAGGGGATCCTGGTCATCATCCCTGCTGATGAAGACCATGATGAAGCTCTGAGCCTGAGAGGAGAACTAGCGATTGCGTCAGCAGATTTTAAGTGTCAGGAGAGAGGATGTTGTACAGTATGTCGCATTATAGTTGCAGATTTTCTGTGTATATGTGTGTTTTATTGACATGTGTGTGAAGTCATTTGTGCAAACATTTGAATACACCTGTGTTTTTAACATTTATGGGTTTACCACTAGAATTTGGTGAATTATGAATCTATTACTGAGATTTCAGATGCTGAAATGCACGTCCCCCTCTAGCTTCCCCGAGTGACAAACACTGGGATGTGTCATAGTAGAGCACAAGACAGTCAGGTAATGGTGCTGCAGTGCAATGTGGATCCATGTCTGCAGCAGCACTGCACTGTTCTGGGCATCCTAGTTCTCTTGGAAACCCAACATGTTCATGTCCAAGGGCATCACACACTGAAGCTTTGTCAAGTTCCTTTGTCATCTCATACAAGCAGACTTGACAAAGCATCATTAAATGAGCTGGCTAGGTTTAGGGAGGTTTAGGGTCAGAGCATAGCTTGGGTAAAACACCCAGCCCGTTCCTACCTCTGCGTTCTATATCCTATGTCACTGCGGCTTCATTTACGATGTTTGAAGGCCACAATATGCTAACCCCTGGACATAAGAATAAAGCTTAACCTCTCACACTAAGGTGGTATATTTAAAACATATTAAAGTTCCAAACACTGCTTGAGGTTGTATGACGGAGATATTCACTCAGTAATTGACTGCCATGAACCTGCAAACAGAGTTCCCTGCAGACCTCCCTCTTTCAGAACCTCAGATGTTACAGTACTGAGAAATTTTTATAAGCCAGGATACCCTGGCTCTTTGAGGAAGTGTTAAATTTAGTCTGAAATAACCAATGAAAGCTGTGTCACTGGACACTTAAGACCATATTTGTTTTGCACAGTATTTAGTTGGCATAAGATTTTATTAAGGACATGATATTTAAAGAATAGTGTGTAGTATGTAACAAGTAAATAACTGGATATTTTAGATAAAATCCTTTTCGGATATAACCGCCTCCCTTCGGACAGCCAGCCGGTTTTGTATGACATGTCATGTCTGCTCGGCGCTGCCTGCCTCTCTTTTCTTTTCTCTCTCCTGCTCTCTTGTTCTGAGGGCTCAGTGACTCAACTGAGTCGCATTCACCTGATTACTGGCTCACTGGGTGTGGTGCACAGCTGCAGCTCGTCTCCACTGAACATGACTCTTCCCTACTTAAAGCCCCTCCTGAATATTGGACATAGTAACAATAACAACCGTAAAGTGCATGTTGAACGGCGAGTGTGCACCAGCTTGCCACCTGGTCAACTGGTCAACTGATCCGACTAGTTACTATGTCATCAGCTGTTTAGAAGTCAGATGGCAGAGGTTACCCACCTGTCTTCCTGGTGCCTACTACTCACCTACATGCTTGCCTGCCAGTCCTGGTCTTCATCTTCACTGCTCAGCCCTGGTTTGGACCATGCATTAATCCGTTGACTTTATCCACCTATCACTTGATTGTTGTTTGCAATAAAGATACTTCTTCGCTAGCACCTGAGCTTGCACATTGAGTCCTCGTTTTTACTCTCTCGCCCCCTGGTGAGGGACCTAACCGTAACATGGCATAACACCCGAGCAACAAGCCCACTCAGAAAAATGCTGCTTGTGTTGTCACCGTGAGGTATCCGCAGCCAGGCAGCTTGTTAACACCACTGGCTTGCCATTGCCTGTTTTAACTTTCTGAGACACTGTTGAGAAGGTTGGCGTACTATTAATACTGGTGACTGTGTAATCAAACACTCAAGATAAACCCTTTTCTGATGTATCTGTCTAAAAATCATTTTAGCAGTTCAATCTGGGCCTTCTGTCAACCCTGTGAGCTGTTGTGCAACCTCACACACTCACTAAGACTTAGGTACCGGTAATCACACTCACTGGGAATTGGGTAACCAAACATTGCTACTTAAAAAGTGCAAACTCACTAAAATCATAGGAATGTCAGTAACATCAAACTTGACTCAATAACCACAGAGAGTATTAAACCTTTTCAGGAATTTTATATAGAAGCTTAACAGAGCTACAGCAAAGCAACAAGCAATCAAATATAAACCTTAAAATCATCAATCGGCTTTCAACCTAAACACCTCACACACTCACTAAGACTTAGGTACCGGTAATCACACTCACTGGGAATTGGGTAACCAAACATTGCTACTTAAAAAGTGCAAACTCACTAAAATCATAGGAATGTCAGTAACATCAAACTTGACTCAATAACCACAGAGAGTATTAAACCTTTTCAGGAATTTGATATAGAAGCTTAACAGAGCTACA